AGATAGAAAACTTTGAATCTTTGACTGGATGATCTGGTGAACTGGAAAGTGCCTTGATGTGAATTAGAGCTATAGAAATTAACTGAACTGTACCAAAAAACAGCTGATTTGTAATTTTTTTGAACCATTTATTTGCATATTTCTAAGCACCCACATAAACACTGCCCTCCGCTGGTGAAATAAGAAGGTTACAGAAAGAAAAGAGCAGTTGTTTTCCTTTTAAAAGCATTTATTTTTTTACTGTAACACTCCCAATGTGTTCATTTAAATTAAAACTGCAGGAATAACAAACACATGCATTAATATAACCTACAGTGCTTTGCTTTCATCAAGTAAACCTAAACCGTTGCTGTTCTGTGAACAAATGTGTCCACCATGAAGCTACAACCAATTTAACCCTTCAAGTGTGTTCCAGGTATGTTGTGGTACTACAAAAGGAAACAAACACCCCCCGCCCCCCCGCAGGATGAGTCATCGGCACAATCCAGTGAGGTGGCAGCAGCAAGATGGGGTGGGGTGGGGTGGGGTGGTGCTGGATGGCGCAGGAGGAGCCAAATTCATCTGGTAAATGAATAAATACTGTAATCTGAATCAGTTCTGGGATCTAAACAGCTGCATTAAGGAAAATAAAATGTAGTTCAGCTTTTAGGTCGGAGGAGGGCGTTGCTGCTCAGTAACAAACTGCAGCTGAAAACAATGAAGGTATGAAGACTTTAGACCCAGTTAGTCGCAAACACACCAACTGCCTCCTTTGATCATGAAGCATTTCAGGTCATTTTTGGTTCCCAGCAGATTTTCGCATCTTTCAATGTGAATTTTTATGATTTTGTGATTTTATTTAAAAGTCCTGGGAAAGTTCAGCCTGAGTCTCCGCTGGTGCAGGTTTCCCTTCTGCTGCCGCTGACGGCCTCCTCTTCCTCAATGGTCACGCGCGTGTCTGCGGAGGAGCACAGGGAGCTGACGCTGCTCTGCTCCGCGCAGAGCGCGCACGCCAGCGGAGACGGCAGGAAAGCCTCGTGACGTAGGGCCCCAGAGTGGTTGCCATGGTTACCGCAAAACGGCAATGAAACGTGCAGCGCCCGCAGCCCCGAGCCCGGAAAGGTGAGGCTGTGCTTCGGAGGCAGGGCGCCCCACTCCCTCTGCTCCTCCTCGTGCACCAGGCGCGTGAAGATGTTACTCCTCCTTTCCTCCTTCCTCTTGGAGCGGAAATATCCCAGCATGATTCCGCAGAGAAACACTCCGTAAAAAGACATGACTATCAATACGTAGAGATGCGCGTTTCCGCCGCTTTCTTTGGCGGCCGTCGCGTGCGGCAAGAGGCGTGCAGACGCTGCTGTGAAGTTTTCCTGATGTTCCATTTCTTTTTCAGTTCAGGATAAAAGCCTAAAATATGAGGAAAAAATGCAGAAACGTTAAATGAGTTATGATTCTTAAAGTAAGATTTGGGCGCGTTAAACGCGCAGAGATCGGTTTGAATTAGGTGATTAGATTCCACTGCACACAAAAAGGAAATGAAATAATAGTAACAAATAACTAAATATGCTTAAGTCAGACATGTTCACAAGTCATTTTTTGCAAGTCCAAGTCAAGTCTAAAGTCTTGAGAAGGCCTGTAGCAAAAATCAATTAATCGCACAAAAAGTTATCATCGCTTCCATATCTGTATGGGTTGCATGCATGCATGCGCACGGGCATACATGTCACGTACTGTTGCGTCAGTGACGTCAGTGTGTTGCGCAGGGAAAAATAAATGATTTATGGTTTTCTTTAATTTAAATGTTATGCTTTGCATGTTTGGAGAGGAAGATATGATTTGTTTTTCTTCTTGAGCTTTGCATGTTTTGATGTTTCTTTTTTATATGATTGTTTTCCTTTATTTTAGACTTTAGAATTTTTCCTGCATGTTGGGTTGTTTTGGTTTGTTTTTCCCTTGTGACAATCCATGCGCACTGGACTGAAGTAGTTGTCTGAGGAGGCGGAGTGCATTAACTGCGCTGCGTAATTGCTGCGCTCAGGTGTGAGCAAGGGCTGATTAAAGCCGACATAAAAGGAGTCTGAAGGAAAGGAGAAGGAGAACGGAATCTGCAGGTGACAGAGACGGACGCGCTGCCGGGATCCGTGCGCACAGATGGCCCAGTAAGGAGTATTAGGGCAGAGGAGGAACCTCGCCTGTAAGTAGCGCTCACCCTCGCTTAAAGCATAAACAGGAATATATCTTCCGACGGGGTTTTGGCGCGTGGATGCTGGCGTTCTCCTTGCTTCTCTTTTTAGCTGGATCGGTCTGGAAAGGGGTGTGGCACGCCAGGGAGTGGAACAGTGCTGGAGCGCCGCAGAGTCTGTGGATCAGCCAGTGGGTGCTCCAGGCTGATCACTCGCACCTGAAGCAGCAGAACAAGCGGAGCCAAACTTCCAGCCTCTGATTTTTAAGGAAAACTCTTGAATTTTAGGTTTTATCAGGAGAAGAAAATGACTGTTTTATTATGCCACTTCTGCTGTGGCTTTTTGTATAAATAAAACACTTGAACTTGAGTGCTTCATGGTTTGGGTCTTTGAGTTTTCTTCTGTGTGCGGGTAAGGCGAGCGGCGATCAGTCAAGTTAGTAAAAACAAAAAACACTTGAATAAGCGTTTTTACACTGGAATAAAATATTGTTCACAAGTCGGAAATCACGAGTCTAAGTCGAGTCTGAAGTCCTTAAATATGCGACTTAAGTGCGACTCGAGTACGAGTCACAAACTCGAGTCCCCATCTCTGGCTTAAGTAGATGGAAAATGCATTAATTTCTTTTTGCACTAGTTATGTTTTTTTTTTATTATTTTCTAGATATTCAGAAACATATGGCGCCTTCATGAATCTGTTATCCTACAGAACAAATAAGTTCAAGTTTTTTGCTCCCCCAGAAAACCTTTTCCAGAAAAGTAAAAACTATAAAAGCTTGAACAGACAAAGGAACTCACCGAGCTGCAGAGCGGAGTCTCTCCTTCCCCACTGAGATCTGAGCACAACTGAAGTTATTTATATGGAGAAGTTTTAGCGTCATGGTGACTCAGACGGACTGGTCCGATTGTAAGATGATCCCTTAGCAAATGACCCACAGAGGAATAATACTTCTTCTTCTTTAATCAAAGCAAAACTTTCCTCTCTGGGGATTCTTGGTGAAATGAGCTCATAGACAGATTCTTTCTGAAGGGCTCCCTGGAGTCCAGAGGAAAGTAGTCCAGAGGGGAAGTCATGGAAAAATGGCAACTGCAAAGAAGCTGAAGATGAAAAATCCACAAAAGAAAACATTTTAAGACCTTGTAGGGCTTACATCAGTTTTTCATGTCCGAGGAACATAGTCTAATGTATTTTATGTGTGAAGACGAACACAGAGGGGTGCAAAACAGATATGAAAGTTTTCATATATTTTGGCAAATAAAAATTTAAAAGATTTCCAGTGAATTTCTTCACTGAAACAGGTTCCTGCATCTATATAAACTCTGCCTGCTTGTTCCTCTTCTCTATTTTGGAGGTTTTTGCACAGTGCTGCCTTGCAGCAAGAAGGTTCTGGGTTCGATTCCCCGTCCAGGTTCTTTCTGCATGGAGTTTGCATGTTCTCCCTGAGCATGCGTGGGTTCTCTCCGGCTTCCTGCCCCAGTCCAAAAACTCTCTGTCTCTGTGATCCTGCCTCTTAGGGTTAGGGTCACCCTGCCACACGTAGACTGGTCACCCTGCCACACGTAGACTGGTCACCCTGCCACACGTAGACTGGTCACCCTGCCACTCGTAGACTGGTCACCCTGCCACTCG